GTAAAGATAAAAGTATAAATCTAACTCCTCATTTTGAAAACCGGAAACCAAACGCCCCAAAAACAGTGACAAATTGAAAACTAACCCACAAAATTCCTAGTGGAAAAGAATAAAAATAAGACGTACATATTTGGCGGCAAATGTTTGGTACAACAGCGAGTCACAATACCGTACCCCACTCGCCACTTAAGCGCGTGCTTTTCACTGCTCATATTTTAAATCACGTGGAAAATTTCAAACTGTGTTATGGGCCCCCTGACCGTTGGATTTTCTTTTGGATTTTTCTTAAAATTAAAAATTCAAGTTTTTGGAACTTTAATTTTTGTAACGATTAAATTAAAAAAAAAGTAATACTTTAAATGAAAGGAAAGATAGAGAGATTTGTACTAAAAGAAAATGACAAAGTGATTATAATTTCACATTTATTTAGAATTAAAACCAGAAATATCAATTCCAAATGAACATAATTGGGGTTTGCAAAATATAAATAAACTTTAGATGTTTTATTTAAGGGTCAGTGACAAATATAGCAAAAATACTTAGTAAAATTGTTAAAATAGCAATCATATTTAGTTTCTTCAAATAAAGTATTGTTTTAGATCAAGATCCAATTTAAAAATGACAACTTTACCGAATGATATACATCTGTAATATATCTGATTACTGATATATATATCTGATATACTACTGATACGAGTGTCTTATATATACTTGCAATATGTATGTGATATATGTCTGACATACTACTGTTATATGAGTGCCGATATAAATCTAATATATTACGGATATGAGTGTCTAATATACTATAGTATCTGATATAAGTGTAAATTTTTGCTATATTTGAACATTTTAAAAATAGGTGACATATTTTGAAATACATAAAAGATTTTTACTACCTAGTGCAATTTCTTTTTTTTTTCTTTAATCCAACATAGTAATGTATTAGATTAAAATATAGTTTTGGACCTTTGCTCTTTGTCATTTACTTTCAACCATCAAATCTCTAAAATTTAAAAACCTCATGTTTTAGTCTTTCAAAATTAAATAAAATTTAACATCAGTCTATTACTTTTTAAAAATCTAAGCTGGGAATTGATGAAAAGATAACATGATATGTTATATTGTCTAATAATACCAATGTATAATTAATAGCAAAAATATAGACACATTATGCATTACTCGAATAGAATTTGAGAAAGTATTGGATTAGAATGTGTTTAATAGTCGAAGGAATAAGTTGAAATTTTTTAGTATTAATTAGGAAGTCAAAGTCGTACTATCACATATATCGAGTCTAGGGAAGTCCCAAATTAATTAGACATGATCAAGTCAAAGTCGTACCATCACGTATATCGAGTCTAGGGAAGTTCCAAATTAATTAGACATGATCGAGTAGTAGTTGAACCTTGAATTAGATTGTGTTTGAATCTATTATCTCAAAGTCTTTTTACTTTTTTCACATGCCTTCGCTACTAAAATTTTGAGCTTTTGTGACGTTAATGAACAGTAAAACACTGTTGAAATTTGATACAAATTATTGTATGGATTTTGGATTTTAATGCCAGGAAGGCCAAATGGTTTTTTAAATGAGAACGAGAATCAGATGAAAAGCATAAATTCGATACAAATTATTTTTCTAGGTTAAATATATGTTTTGTTTCTATTTATTTGTATGGATTATTTTTTTCAAGTTAACTCCTTATATTTTGTTTTTCAAATTACGATTATACCTTTTTCGTTGAATGTCAAATGTGGTTGGTGAAGCAAAGGTTAATGGCAATAGAGAGAGTCTGAGTATGACCATTGAAATGGGATTCACCCAATTGATTATTGAATTTGATTCTGCTAGGCTGTTATCGTTGATTCAAACAAACAAGGAATATTGTTTTCTAAACTAGAGTTGATTGTTCAAGAAATTATTACTTTAGTGAAAAATTTAAGGGAATTCGAGTTTTACCCATTGTCGAAGAAGATGTAATCGTGTGGTGCATGCAGCAGCGAAACTCGCAGTGGATGGGAGCGTGAAATTAAAAACTTTCACTTCCTAAGTAGTTTAGTTTTTCCCTTAAATTTACGCCAACTTTATAAGTATATCATGTCATAAGTTTTCATCAACCAACTTTGACATTCACCTATGGATAGGGCATAATTGAAAATCTTTAAAACACTAGGGAGTAAATTAAAAGTTTTTAAATGCTAAATTAAAAAATACTCCAACATTATAAATAAATAAAATTAAAATATATATTTAGCATTTTGTTTACCCCTGGTGGTTAAATTGCATCCAAATTTTAGAGAGAAAATTTAATGCTTTCCTGTTTACTATTCCCCTAATAAAAACACCGACGGTTTTGCTATTTTTTTATCATTCGTAACTCACAAAATCATAATAAATATACCATTTTTAAAATAGTTGAATAATTTTGAATATTTGATATCATAACAATTTTTTTATTGCAATATGTCATAGAGTAATAATAAATAATAACTTACAGACACATTTTTTTTTAATTTATCAGTAAAATAATAGGAAACAATAAATAAAAATGAATTGTAAACATTTTTCTTTTGGTTAATTACACAACTAGCCTATTTTTAACATCTTAATTATAAAAGTGTCTTCAATCTCGAATATTTATACATACTTTTGTTAATACAGAGGCTGGTGATATATTTTTAATAATAAAAAAAAGAAATATAAAAATAAAATTATTAATTTAAGCTACATTATAGGATGAAATCTCTTGATTCTCTTATCCATCGCAAATCCTAATCTATTTCTTAATAATTCTTCAATTCATAAATTTTGCAAGGTTAAATCATACTTCAATAATATTGTTTTGTAGACAACTTATAACGATAGCGTTATGAATGATTAGAGAATATATTTTGGATAAGCTATATATACTTTGTAATAAAATGTATATATTATATAACCTAATAAAATGCATGTATTATATAACCTAATTACTAATTCCTCAAGTAGATGATTTGAACTCATTTTTTCTTAATTAATCATAGTCTCTTAGATCAATGAGTCACCCAGGATAGTTTATAACTTTATCATATTGTAAATTAGACTGAAAAGTCTATTTTTATCCTATTGTAAATTAGACTGAAAGGTATATGTTATATAATTATGGTCGTAAAACTAATGGTTGCCGAACAAGTGAATAAGACCTCGAAAAAATTAATGGTGAATTTCACAAATCTTGCATGAACATGGATAATTCGTGAGCTATTAGGTGAAATTTGAAAAATAGATTTTGATAATTAAAATAAAAAATAATGAGAATAATGAAACATCCTATCTATATTTGTTGAATACTTTATTAAAATATAAGCATTTAATAATAATTACAAAAGTTAGCATTAAATGACCATTAAATCATTTAGGGTATCATATATTGAAAAAAATATATAAAATAGATGTAATAAGATGATATTAATCGAGAACAATTTAGAGATAAAAAATCTTAATTTAAATTCTCAAAATCTATATTTATAAATATTAAAAAGAATGAACGTTTATGAAATATCATATATTAAACGACTCACTCGAGAAAATCTCTGTTTTCTTTTTCTTTCATTTTTTTTTTCATGGGAAAATAAAAATAAAAAGCGGAATGGAATAAACCACATACTTGCAGTTGTCAGCCAAATAATTTTCAGTTCCCTATAGAGAATTTTAAAACGAGTTTTTTTTTTAATAATAAAATCACTTTTGATTTTCTTACTTATTAATAAAAAAAGATAAAGTGTATCTATATTTTTTAGTACGGGATGATAATTCGAACTCACGACGTTCTGATGGTGTCTTAACCAATTGAGGTCGTGTGTACGAATTCCTGCCTTATTGTTAAGTTTAATGGTACCTTAAGTACCAAAAGTTTTACTTTCGATTTCACTCAAAAGGTATGAGAAGTATAATGGTACTATAGGTATCCAAATTTTTACTTCCGATTTCACTCAAAAGTACGAGATAATCAACTATATATGATCGATCTCTTATCTAAACAATTTAAAATTTTGTTCACACCCATTGCAATTCAAAAACCCACATCTTCTTGTACCAAACACAAAATTTAAAAGTTTAACTAAAGAAACTACTTATTATTAGGGAAAAAGTTAGAACTTTTAATAATGTTTTTTTTACACACTAATTCAAAAAATACACGTTCCACCAGAATAATGTTTGGAAATAGTTGGTCGTCTTTTCAAGAGACAACCCATAAATAATCTCCACTCTCCAAACGTGACACTTTGTTGGCGCTATGTTTGATTAAGAAATGTTTTTTCTTTTTAAAATTCTAGTAAGTCGTCTCTTCAGGAGATGACTATGGAATGCATGTCGTCTCTTGAAGAGATGATCATCACTAGATTTTTTATTTTTATTTTTTTATCTTGCATGTCCCAGGTTCTTCTCATTGTCTATTTAACTAACGAAGCATTCAAATTTAAATTAAATCTAAATTGTAAAAAAAAAAAAAATTAAATCAAATGATACGTTTCCATAAATACTAATGAAAGAGTAAAGAAACGACGATGAATAGTTACCATGTGGAAGCTTAGAACTCAAGTCTATATGAAGTAGAGTATTAATTTTCACCGAAGTTGTTATTTGCAGGAAGGGAAAATGAGTAGTGAGTGATTGGACAGTTTGAAGTAAATGACTCAAACACTTTATTGAGATAATAGAATAAGTATATGTTTGAGTTATCACGTGATCTATTTTATTTTTTTTAATTTAAATATTTAATAATAACTAGTTAAATTGAATTTTTTATTGGTTTAGTTTTAAGATTTTGTTAGTTAATTTAATTTAAGGTTTGTTTTTTTTTAAATCGACAATCAATTTATTTACGATTTTATTTAGTTAAATTTAATTTAAAGTTTGTCTACAAAAATAGATTTCTAAGTTTCAAAAAATTGGGTTTACATACACGCGCTATAAATATCGCGTGGCGTAAATGCCAAAAGGGAACAGTGAGAAGTTTGCTTCCTATAAGCTCACGCCCTAGTCTTTGTGTATATGAGAAATTTCAGTGAGAATTTTACATTCTGAGAGGTGAAGAAGAAAATCTTACCCAAAAAACGGGGGAAAATGGTTGAAGCCGGACCTTCAATCTTCTCGATGACTTGCGGAAAATCTCGGAGAGGGTTTTGGAAAGCCGTGTAATTGATTTCTAGGGTTCGTTTATTTCTTTCAAATCCGCTTCTCTCTTGTTTTTATTTGAGATAGATTCATATCAGTTCTCAATTGGTGATTTCCTTCTACTCGTTCGTCGTGGCAATGCTTGTATTATCTGTATCTGGTTTGTTAGAATGTGTAATTGGATGAAGAAGAGGATCTTTCGAGTTTCGGTCGACCAAACAATACGTTTCTATGCGGATGAGTAGATTATAAGTCAGGGACGACGTTTGTGTTATCAATTTTATTTGTGATTCTTGTCATGCGATTGTCGTCGGAATCTGTTTCATCGTCATTGAAGCAGAGCGGCAATCGGTCTGGGTCTAGGCTGAAGAAGAAGCACAAGAGGCTTGATGCCATATGCGAGAAAGAGTATAGTCGAAACCATGGCGATGTGAATGAGAATGGTAGTGGGTTGGGAACTGCGGAGGTTGACTTTGGACTTCGACGGAGCAACCGTGTCCGTCGGGCCCCAGTCTTGCTTGATGCTTCACCGTCGCCAAGGAAGAAGCGACGGAAGATTCATGGGAATGGAACTTTGGGCATTAAAAAGAGTGCCGAGACTCTGGCTCAGTTGAGTGACGATTTGAATGATGAGGCCCAGGGCAATTGGGGAACAAGGTTGAGAGCAAGGAACAGTAATTTGGGGCTTAGAGTGGACAAAGGCGCTCGTGCAAGCAGGAAAAGGAAGCTTTTTGATGCAATAAGTGATGTGAAGGTAAAAGATAGTGGAATGAAGATGGATTTGGATGAGAAAAAGGGAAAATTGGAAGATGGGGAATCTATGGTTGGAAGGTCTAACCGATCAAGAAGGAGGAGGTTTGGAGCGATGAATGGTCCAATTAGAACTGAAAAAGAGGTGAAGTCTCCTGAAATTAAGGATGATTACGACAGGGAACACAAGTTAGCGATTAATATTGAAGATGAGGAGCAGGAAGAGGAAGAGGAAGAGGAGGAGGTGGAAGAAGAAGAAGAAGAGGAAGAGGAAGAGGAAGGGGAAGAAGAAAAGGAAGGGGAAGGGGAAGAGGAAGAGGAAGGGGAAGGGGAAGGGGAAGAGGAAGAGGTGCTGGAGCGCAAAGAAGTCATGATTGCAAAGGAGGAGAGACGGGAGGATGTTTTGCCTTTGGAAGATGAAGTGGATGATGAAAATGTAAAAGCAGCAGATAATATTTTCCCTCAGTTTATTGAAAAATTGGAGAAAGAAACTTTGAGTCATTTGCACATAGATGAGGCTTGCAGTGCTGATCACAATAAAGAACCAGCCAATGCAGTCGACAATTCAAACAACGGTGAGATACAGGTGGAAAAATTAATGTTCTTACATGATGGTGAAAATGAAATACATGATGTAGAAGCTGCTGGAGTTTCAACAAATGAAGTGGTAGGTGGAAGGTGTTGCAAAGAGAAAGATGTTGATTTGGGCAAGTTTGCTGAAAAGTCTATGCAACACGGTGGTGATTTAAATTTAAAGAAGTTTAGAGATAGTTCCACTGGTAGATCGGGTAAGGCTCACATTAAAGAGGGAAGAAGGTGTGGATTATGTGGAGGAGGAATTGATGGCAAACCTCCCAAGAAGTTAGTTCAGGATTCAGGTCAGAGTGAAAATGAAGCTTGTAGTGGCTCTTCAGCTTCAGAGGAACCAAATTATGACAAGTGGGATGGTTTTGGTGATGAACCTGGATGGCTTGGACGCCTATTAGGTCCCATTAATGATCGTTATGGCATTGCTGGAATATGGGTCCATCAACACTGTGCAGTTTGGAGCCCAGAGGTGTGCCTTCTAACCTGGAACCACCGAGTTCTCCCAGACTGAGTAGTTTTAATATTATGATTTCTTTTCTGATAGGAAACTGACTGACTTTATTATTGTTACTTTATTTATTTAGATGGTTTTTGGATCAGAAATAATAGCTTTGACTTGTAAGATCTTTATAAATTATTAATTTGGATTTGTTTTACTGTATTGCTACACTTGCTGCTTACTAGCTTGATCTACTTTATTCCTCGCTCTCCACCTTCCTTCCCAAAGAGAAAGCTGAATTATATGTTGTTGCATATGTAGTAAATATGACGAAGTTTGCCCAATTATTGCCTTCTGTAGAATAGTATCATATTATGTCTACATAAGAACTCTCAGACTAGCTGATAGGAGAATATAAATTCATATTCGGTCCTTTTTGTTACAATCTCAGATGCATTAGTACCTCTGAACCCTTAAGATGGTAGGGGAAAGCATGCCAACTCTTTTAGCGCATTTGGTCCTACATAAGAGCCTTAAAGAGCCTTTAAGTGATATGTGGGCTGCATTAAACCATCTCTATCCTTTATGTTCATATTATTTGTTATATTTTAATGCACATGACTCCTGTCCGTTCATATTTAATTTTTTGCACTTTCTTTTTTCGCTTGTTCGTCAAGCTTTCGAGTAGAACCAAGTTTTCAAGAAACTGCTCGAGTGTTAGTCCTAACCTAGTACGTCATAATTGAGAAAGGGTTTAACCATGTGCTGTGCTGTGGATCGGTGCTCTCCTTAATGTCCTTATAGGATAACTACACAATTCTTTGATTTAAAAAGGCACAGAGCAACAAAAGGAACTAGTTTCCCATGCCTCTTTAAGGTCCCACTTTATACCCTATGTTTTCTTATTTCTGATTTTCCTCACTACCTACAAGCTTGCCATGATCACTACCTCACAGCCTTCTGAAGGACCGAACGATGCAACTTCAAATATTTTAGAAATAATAATTTCGGAGTAGTATCTTCAGCTGAATGGGGAGTCATTCTAAAGATGAAATGGTGCTAACTACTAAATAGATATGGGGTAGGAATTAGGATAGGAGATCTACAGCAAACAAAACCATTTGAACTGATTCTTTTTTGAACTTTATTGAACCCTGCTAGAAATTTGTACCCTATGCTTGTCTATTGCAATTGGAATTTTCTCGTGATGTTGCTATTTTTTTGTTAGTGTTTTTATATTTTTTGTGGTAGAAAAATTTCCACTCTATCAACTATGAATAAAATGGTTCTTTTTTAATTGAGAATTGGCCAGAAGAAGCTCACTCTCTTACCCCATAGCAGCCCATCTTCTCCCTTGACTTTATGACCATGTTTTGAAGGTGAAGGTCACGAGTAGGAGATGGGAGGCCCTGCACCTACTTGTTGACTATAGCAACGGGCGTTTGGCTTGGACACTTTTTAGTCCCCTTTTTGACACTTTTTTGAGCTTCGTGAAGAGAAAAGCTATCTTCAAGTTGTTTATTGAAGAACATATTCTCTACTAATTCTTATGAAATAATCTCTTGGGCTTCAAAGTAATTTATTTATTTATTTTATAAGATTGAGTATTTCATCGATGATATGAAATATACAAAAAGCCAAGGGCTAGTTACCAAAATTCCTTCCAATTAGAGACTAGGTCATTTAGATAGTTTTTCATTTTTCATTCATTATRTTATAATGAATTTTATCCTCTGTTATGATTTGTAATTTTTTTCTCTACTTTTTTGCAAATGCTCCACACTTCACTTAGATATTTGCAATTATCCTACTCTTTTGTTTCTTTTTGGCCTTTATAACCCCAAAGATTGTTGTAATTATCCTATTCTTTTGTGTTTGATTAGCTTGGATAGATCTCGTGAGTCATTGGGAAGGGATGGTTTGGACTTTTCATTCCTGCCCTTATGGCCTTTTTGTTTATCCACTCCCCCACAGAAAACACACATACACACACAAAGAAGAATCTAGGTTTCTCCTTTTCCTAAGTTCTCTGTTGCTTTGTTATTTGCTCTATATTCTGGAGGATATATAATTCTTCTAGGGAACTTTTTGGATGTCAATCTTAATATGAGCAAAACATATTTGTAGGTTTATTTTGCTGGATTGGGATGCTTGAAAAATGTAAGGGCTGCTCTTTGCAGGGGAAGAGCATTAAAGTGCACTCGCTGTGGGAGACCTGGTGCAACCATTGGATGTCGTGTTGATCGATGCCCAAAAACTTACCACTTGGTCTGTTTTTCACTATCATGCTATTAGACCTAGTTATCTTCTGGCTTAGGCTTCTTATATGCATTGCTGGATGTACGATTCTTTAACACACCTTTCTTGTTCCTGGTATTTTGTTATTTTGCAGCCTTGTGCACGTGCTAATGGTTGCATATTTGATCACCGGAAATTTCTCATAGCTTGCACAGATCATCGCCAAATCTTCCAACCTCATGGTAATCAATATTTAGCTCGGATAAAAAGATTGAAGGCCAAGAAAATGAAATTGGAAATAAAGAAGTCATCAAATGATGCTTGGCGAAGGGATATTGAGGCTGAAGAGAAATGGTTGGAGAACTGTGGCGAGGATGAAGAGTTTCTGAAAAGAGAGAGTAAGAGACTTCATCGAGATTTGGTAAGAATTGCACCTGTGTACATTGGTGGTTCAAACTCAGAAGGTGAGAAATTATTTCATGGATGGGAATCTGTTGCTGGGCTTCAAGGTGTCATCCAATGCATGAAAGAAGTAGTATTCTTACCTCTTTTGTATCCTGAGCTTTTTGATCGCTTTGGGATTACACCTCCTAGGGGCGTTCTTTTGCACGGATATCCTGGAACCGGTAAAACACATGTTGTGCGAGCATTGATAGGTTCTTGTGCTCGTGGTGATAAACGTATAGCCTATTTTGCTCGTAAAGGAGCCGATTGCTTAGGGAAATATGTTGGTGATGCAGAACGTCAGCTAAGACTTCTATTTCAAGTTGCGGAGAGATGCCAACCTTCCATTATATTTTTCGATGAGATTGATGGGTTGGCACCTTGTCGTACAAGGCAGCAAGATCAAACCCATAATTCAGTTGTGTCTACATTGCTTGCTCTATTAGATGGTCTAAAATCTCGGGGGTCTGTTGTAGTTATTGGTGCAACAAATCGCCCAGAGGCAGTTGATCCAGCTTTAAGGAGGCCTGGGAGATTTGACCGGGAGATTTATTTTCCTTTGCCATCGGTTGAGGATAGGGCTGCTATTCTCTCCCTTCACACTCAAAAGTGGCCAAAGCCAATTGATGGGCCCTTACTCCAGTGGATTGCTAGAAGAACTGCAGGGTTTGCTGGTGCTGATCTTCAGGCTCTTTGTACTCAAGCAGCCATGAGTGCTTTGAAAAGAAATTTTCCTCTTAAAGAAGTTTTATCAGATTCTGGTGAACAAGCATCGAGAGATAACCGCCCTCCTCTTCCTTCCATTTTAGTGGAGGAGCGAGATTGGTTAGAAGCTCTATTATATTCTCCACCTCCATGCTCACGCAGAGAAGCAGGAATGGCTGCCAATGATGTGGCATCCTCTCCTCTTCCCTCCCATCTCATTCCTTTTCTGCTTCAACCACTGTCAACTTTACTTGTTTCCCTGTATCTTGATGAACGCATCAGCTTGCCAGCTAATCTTTTCAAAGCTGCAACTTTAATTAAAAGTGTGATTATTTCTGCTTTGGATGGAAGGAAAATTGTCACTAGTTGCTGGTGGTCCCATGTTCACGATTTTGTTAGGGATGCTGATATTGCAAATGAGATAGAGATAAAGCTGCAGGGTTCTGGAGTGTTACTTGGGGATTCTACTTTTGGTTGTTCTGGTGTTGTCAACAATGATTCCTGTAATGAAATTTCGAAGTTTGAACGGTCTGTAGGTCATCGTGGTAGCCCATCCACGACCATGGTAGAGCACACATCATTCGACTTGGGAAACAAGTCTGGCTTTCGTATTTTGATTGCTGGGAATCCTAGATCTGGACCTAGGCATCTTGCTTCTTGCCTTCTTCACTGCTATATTCAACATGTTGAAATTCGGAAAGTTGATATAGCCACAATTTCACAAGAAGGACATGGTGATTTGGTGCAAGGCATATCTCAGATATTATGTAAGTTCTTAATTCTTTATGTGTGTTTTATGTTGTCTTACTAATTGCTAATGTAGAGACTTTGAATTTGTGAAGTTTATGCCTTATTTACACATTTGCAATATTCTCTGCAACTTATGGCTGCAGTATAACATATAGCTTTGAAGGAAGAATGCAATCAACAGTCTATTGTTGGGTGTTAAGTTACATAGAATCCTTGAACTTCTAATATACATACATACATACATGATACATATATATATATATTTTAACCAGAAAACTGTTGTGGTGCCTATTCTTTTGTCCCTTAAAGGAGAAGAGGACTAGGAGTTGTTGCAGAATGTAAATGGAAGATGTGCACTGTACTGTCTGACATTCTTCCTACTTTCCTATCAGATGTTGCTTTTCATGATATTGATGGTCCTACTTCAAACTTCGATGCATGAAATACTGTGCTTTATAGGATTTGGTTAATGTGCATTACATTGACTGCCCTTGATTCCTCACCGTTTCTTTAAAAAAAATTATTTACATGACAGTGAATTGCCCTAGCACGGGATCATGTATTGTGTTCATGCCAAGAATTGATTTGTGGGCTGTTGAGATACAAAATCAAACACCTGAGGAGTCTGATTTCTGTCTGAACGAAGATCAGTACCCCAATGATGGAATTAGTGTCAAAGATGGTTACGTTGGTGGAAGGGAAAACCATCGTTGTTCAGACGCAGACCAAAGCAAATCAACGGAGAGGACTGGATTTCAAGGTGTTATTTCTGGGGCTTCACATGCTTGGGAAAACCATCGTTGTTCAGACGCAGACCAAAGCAAATCAACGGAGAGGACTGGATTTCAAGGTGTTATTTCTGGGGCTTCACATGCTTGGAGTTCATTTGTTGAGCAAGTTGAATCTCTATCTACACCCTTGATGATTTTGGTATGGACATGTTCTCTCTTTATGATTTCTTAATTGAGATTACCTTCCCTCCTGCCATGTTTTWCTTGGTCCACTTAYGTCTGTAATTTCTTATGCACCTACCAGTTTGCATTTCATTAGTGTTTTTCAAAGAAACGAATAATTTCATTAGACAAAAACTATGCATGGAGAGATATTGGAAGCCAACCCAAAGCCAAAGCTAAAGTTAGCACAAAAAAGGCTCTCCAGCTAGTCGAAGCATTTCTCAATAGATCATGTTGTAAATGACTTTTTGGCTGTCTATTCTGTTCAGTGTTCAGTAGAAAATTGAAAATCTAATGCTAATAGTGGAGCCATCTAGGCACCTTATTTCCATAGATTCCCTTGAAAATCTGTATTTCGTCTTTTTCATAATTTTGGAAGATATTTCTCCTCTTGGTTGTTAATAGACTCATTGAAGGTGGCATATCTAAGAATATGATGCAGACAGATAAACCAAAACCGATACTGGTTGATCTAATTAAGAGTTGGATGACATTGAAGATGCTGAGCGCTTTAAATTGTACATACTCTTCAGATGTTTGTAAACTTCTGCCTCTTTAGGTGGTAAAAAGATGGCGTATGTAATGGTTGAAAATTTGAAAGGTTTTTCTTGAAAGATAAATTTTACAGTTTAACCCCCCTTCAACTTCTATATTGTAATTTTGAACTTTTGAGGACTAGAGGTTGCTGCACTGAGAACATGAGATTTGATTGGAAAAATATTTTAGGATGTAACTGCTCGTTCAATGAGTTTACTTGGGTTAACTTATAGTACCTGTGCCCAACAAATGGTTGCTGTTTAAATTTGATCCCCAGTATCTGATATGTAGAACTTGCATCCGATTTGGCCAATAGGATAGATGAAGGGATCCATTGAAACATGTTTGGTATGACTAATTCCTCATAATAATGATCTAAGAATGGAATAGTTAATGATAGGATTACTATTAGGATAAATTGGGGATATTATTAGGGTATATTAGTAATTGGGTTAGGGATTTGGTTATAAATAGTGGGGGAAATGATGAAAAGCTAGACAATTGGTTGGTTAGTATGATTTAGGCTTGAGTAAGAATACTCAAGAGAGGGAAGAGTCCGAGTACCTCGATTACTTGGTAGCTATTTACTTGGTAGTTCTTATATCTTTTATATATCAATATATTTCTAGTTGTTCGGGTTCTATTAGTCACTTCTGTTCATTTGGTGCATTCTAAATAATCATGCAGATGAAATATAGTCTCTGATAGTCTGTCTCTAATTCTCTAACTATAATGTCCATTGACTACGATACTTTTAATTGTGGAAAGGCCACATCAGAAGTTCCATTTTTGCTACTTCCACAAGAGATAAGGCAGTTCTTCAGGAATGATTTATCAATTTGTCGGCCAACTACTTCGGAGCACACAGTACCTAGATTCTCTGTGCAGATTGATGGAGGTTTCAACCATGACATGGTGATCAATCAGTCTGCAGCAGAATTATCAAGGGACATAGCAAAACTTCTTGTTCATTTGATTCACCAAAAGTCTCACACCAAAACATCTGCATGCACAAAGTACCAAATTTCTGTCATCCAAGGTGAGAGTAATGCAGCAAATCAGCAAACAGATAAAGAAACAGCCAATGGGCAAGCTGGGGAAAAGAAGTCCCCTGACGTAAATCCTGTTAGAGTTGCGCCACTACCTGGCTGTAGAACTATAAGAGTGAAATCAAATTTGGTTTCAGTAATATCTACTTTTGGCTATCAAATTCTGCAATACCCTCATTTCGCTGAACTTTGTTGGGTGACATCAAAGTTGAAGGAAGGCCCATCTGAGGACGTTAGTGGACCATGGAAGGGATGGCCATTCAATTCTTGTATTATTCGCCCGATGAGCGCATTGGAGAAGGTAGCATCAAGCAGCTTGAGTAATGGAAAATCTAAAGAAATTTCAGGTATTGTAAGAGGCTTGGTTGCTGTTGGTTTATCAGCAATCAGAGGGGCCTACACATCATTAAGGAAAGTCTCTTTTGATGTACGATTGGTTCTTGACCTCCTAGTCGAACAAATAAATGCAAAAATCAGTGCTGGGAAAGACCGGTATCAATATGTTCGCCTTCTATCGCAAGTTGCATATCTGGAAGATGTAGTTAATAACTGGGCCTTCACACTGCAAAGGTACTTTTGCTATGACTAAATAATATAATTTTTAGTCCAAGTTCAATCTGCAGGCTGTTACCTAATGAAAAATTATTCCTTTCAGCTTGGAACAGGACTCTCAAAAAATGGAAGCGTCAAAGAATCACACTTCGGGTGGTAATGAGTTCCAATGTAATGAGGTTCAGTGTGAGGAAAGTATTCGCGTTGTGTCCGAGAAAAGCTCTCCTACACATGAAATTCTGGAAGTCAGTCGTCAGGGACCTGTTGATGAGAAAGTTGTATGTAATGGTTCCTTGGGAGATGGAGATGTTGATCATTCCCATTCCAAGGACGGAACATTCATATCAGAAGGATGCGGTGAGAAGAATTTCTGCTTCTGTAATTCAGTCTTTAATGAGTCCCATCACGATGCTGCTGCTGCTGCTGATGATCACTTAGCTTATAATATTCCATCGAATCATAATGATGAGGCAACAGTAGTTGGACCTGATGATTTGGGCAACGGAAGAAACTGCACATCGGTTGAAACACCTTTAAATTTGAGAACAGAATCAGTTGTCGATTTAGAACATCATCATAAAAATTCAAGTGAGTTATGTGCTGATGAGTTCCTTAGTTGCACAAAACCCAGCAGCATTGGTAATGGGCACTCCTCCTTAGAAAATGGTTGCAAACATGTTGATAGTGAACCCGATACAAGCAATCGTGAAGTGAACATTCACTTGTCTCCGTGCAGAAGTGGCCCCTCTACTAACTCGGCATTGGTATGTTCCATTCGTTGCTGCACTGGTTGTTTAAACATCATCTATGATGCGACAAAAAATATTCTTCATAGCAAGTTTGGATTAAATCAGAATAATTGGACCGTGGAGGATGTTCATGATTTTGTTGTGGCGCTTTCAGTTGATCTTCTTGCAGCAGTAAGACGGGAATTTGTTGATGGAAGCAACAATCGTGCATTTAACGACAGACGAACGGGAGGAAAGGAGGACAGGTTYGAATCCTTGGACTCAAGAACTTGTTGCAAAAGTTCCAAAGATATGGCTTTGATGCCAGTGGAATGTATTTGCCATTCTGAAAATGAAACTTCAAGCGAAAGAGTAAATCCCTCTCCTTACTCGGAATTCGGGCTCGACCCAAACTTTATATTCAGAGATGGTGTACTGGTTAATTTAGATCCTGAAAAGAATGTTTCGTTTCACTGTAAATTGGAGACTTTGTGCCTCTGTTCTCTTACAGAGTTGATAGTAATGGCAAATAAGCCTTTTCGTTGATCAGATTATCTTAAAAGAAGAGTTTGGATCAGCCATGGCACATCTTTATGCCTCAGCAAAGGTTAGTCGATATATAATCTCTCTCCCTCTATATATTTTTATATATAATGTTACTAAAGAGAAATTTTTGAGCTGGTGTGAACACGAAATTATTTAATTCTTTTTCCCCAATAGTTGAGGAATTATGGTGTTTCATTTTCATTGATTTTGCTATCTTAGGATTCTGAGAAGGAGAAATGTGGGGGTAATTGTTCTGTAGTTAAAAATTATTCTCTTTTTTGAAGGCTGAAGGAAAGAGAGTTTAGTGAATTGTGTGGTTATTCTTAGTTTTTGGTATTTTAAAAAAAGAGACAACATATTTCTCTCAAATAAATTTCTCTCTAAAATTATTTTCGGCCATTTTTCTCTCTAAAAATGTATCTCTCTAAAATTTTCATCACTATATATTTTTATTTATTTATTTTTTTCTTGATATATGACTCATTTTTATGTCTCTAAAAATTTAAGGATGCATTTGATTAGCGATTTGAAAATAAGTTATTCAATGGAAAATAGAGTTGTATTATTTGTTTACACAAGACCTCTAAAGTAATAATATAATTTTATGCTCTTTTTTAGAGGGACGTGGTTTCACTCATCCAGATGTTAATTTGTTGGACTAACAAAAATTGAAACTTTTTAGAGGGACGTGGTTTCACTCATCCAGATGTTAATTTGTTGGACTAACAAAAATTGAAACTATCACGATCATAGAGATACCTAAATCAATAACTTATTTCATTTGGAATTCTTCAAAAGTTATTATTAATTAATCATTTATTTGGTTCCTATGAATAATGTATTTGAAAATTAATAGGAACCAATTACAATTTTGGTCTCTGTTCGGTTGCCAAGATTCAAGATTTGACAGTTTAGTTCATAGTCTTTACAAGATGGTTCTAAATGGTCTTTCACAACAAAATATCATTAATGTCTTTAATAAAAAAAATGATGTGACATTTAGCTCTTGAGGTATTTTTAGATAAGATGTCAAAATATATTAATTTTATATTCCTTCCAAGGCTTAYGTAGCAATCTTTCCTTTAGCATATAATCAAGAATCAAGAGATTGGCTATACTCATTTTGACTCTCTCCCTCTTCAATATACTTAAATGTTAGAAAAATTATTTTGAAATTTGTATTGAGGAACATAAATCAACATATTTTTTTTTACAACAAATGTGAGGGTAGAAATTTGAACATTCAACTTAAGAAAATGATAGATCCTTGACCGATGAGTATATTCATTTTGACTTATTAACACGTTCACTTTGACCAACGACTTTTAACTATCGTCGGTATCAAAAAAATTTCAATCATTAAAATTATAAATTTAGTTCATGGTTGTAAATTTTTTCTTTACGTTATTGAATAAATGTTGATTCACATCCAACACAAATGTGACAACAAATGATAGTAAATTGACAAAAYAATGTGGCACATGCAAATACACTCTTCTGAAGTAATATATAAGATTTCATCTATAGATAATAGGTCACTCTATTTCTCTTTTACCTGTCCCCTCTCTTTTGACATATTATCTAGCAAGCCATGTTAAATCGATCGGTCCAATTCAAAGTTCTAACCGAAACTTACGAAGATCAAGCCACACAATTATGTTGATAATTTTACCACCTTGTAATACTTTTTTTTAACATTTTTAGTGGCTAACTTTTATTGCAAAGAAAAAGCTCCCTCCTCTTCCTCCGCCATGCAGTTTTCTCCACATATATTTCCCATGAAATTCTCAACACCAGAGAAAAAGAAGAAAAATGGCAGATTCCAAATTGCATGTTGTTATGTTCCCATGGTTTGCGATTGGCCACATGACTCCATTTCTCCACATCTCCAACCAGCTCGCTGCAAGAGGCCATACAATCACCTTCCTCTTGCCCAAAAAGGCTTCCTCTCATTTTCAACATCTCAATCTTCACCCACATCTCATCTCCTTTCGCATCTTGACTGTTCCTCCCGTCCCCGGCCTCCCTCCGACCGCTGAGACCGCCTCCGACGTACCCTTCTCTCTCAACAACTTGCTCGCCATTGCTTTCGATCTAACTCGGCCCCAGGTGGCGGACKTCATCCACTCTGCCCGCCCCGATCTCGTCCTTTACGATTTTGCCTATTGGATCCCTGAAATCACCACTCCGCTCAAGATCAGATCAATCAGTTATATCGTCGTTAGTGCAGCGTCGATCGCCGTCGCTGTCTTCYCAGGAAGGAAAAATGCAAGCATTGACGACCCCTTGACGGAGGAGGAACTGCAACGGCCACCACCTGGTTACCCGTCATCCACTGTTGTCCTTCGTGCTGGCCGTGAAGCACGGTCCTTGCTCTTCTTGTCCAAGCCCTTTGGCGATGGTATTGTTAAACTACCTTTGAATTTATAAAGCTTATAAGAACGAATTATTGTATATTTAATTATTTATTTATATTCTTAATACTCTCCTTCATTCATGATCTAAAAACTAAGCACAAAGCTCACACGAGAGTATTAATATTAATGTTAAAATATATTATTTTAGTCTCTAT